GAAGCAAAGGAAATTAACTCATTCTTTTGTTTTTTCAAATCACGAACAGTTTGTTCTCCAATACCGTATTGCATTGCTAATTGTTTAACTACAGCTCCTTTTTCCAGCTGATTGATAATTTCAAGTTTCTGTTGAATACTTAACACAACACGCTTCCTTTTAAACCCCGACATTTTGCTAACGCACTTGAAGATCTATATTAAGAAACTGATACTTACTTTCACAATGCACTCTCACACTGAGATGGTACCGTTAAATAACCTGGGGCGGTGTATTTGTCCTTGAAACTTTCCAAAAATTCTTGCATTCTTTCACCCCCACCCTAGAACATTGTGTTCGCATAACGGGACGAAATAATGCAGAGCTCGGTTCACACTAGTGCGAAAATAGTGTTAAACTCACCATGTGAAACAAAAGTGAATGAATATTAAACAACATATAAACTTAAAAAAAAAAAAAGCCCCGGTTAAGCCGCAAACCGGTTAATCCGCCCCCGGATAATCGAGAGTTGACTGTACTTCCTTATTCTGTGCAATACAAATGCCAACAGATGAAGCCCTCGACTTTAAAAGGCTGACGATGTGACAGATTAGTATGGAGAAATGGTGGAATGTTGATTAGCAGGAAAATACTGAAGAAATTTAGGGAGAAAGTAGCTCCAGTGCAATTTCATCAACCATAAATATTACTCTGCATTTAAGGAATCTGTGACTACATGGTAAGAAGGCAGTGACTAACAACCTGTTTAACACTAAAATATGTGGAAGAAATGCTGCTAACACATACTGGTATGTAGACCACACTCTTGTGGGTAACGACACCAAGTAGTGAAGCAACATTACCAACAATCTAGAAGATCTGGCTGCCTCAATCTTCAGGCAGCAGCAAGTTTCTTCAAAACCCTGGTAACCACCTACTAGACCACAGCAACTAACAGGAAGATGGGGTAGGAGTGAACTGAAAACTGCATGAAAGAAGTTCATATCTTAAAGTACTATTCAAGCCCCTGCCTCGAGGAATAAAGAAATCCACAGAAATCCTCAATGTTCTGTGAATATAGGAAGGAATGTGGTCATTAACAATTTTATCATGTGAAATGAGACAATATGGGCTTTAAAGTTCTAATAAGATTCAGATTATATCACATCAGTGAATATTAAGGATAGAGTCTTAAGAATGTGACATCACATAGAATGGTAGAAGGTTATGAATCTTCTTCTCAAATGCTGGTTCTATCAAACTACACAGCATCACGGCTCTGAACAATACAGCCTTAAGATTCACAACCGTGGCTGTTAACACCACCAGAAAGAACTTCAAGCCCCAATCTCACTAACCCCCTTCTATTTTTGTTTAGCCCCTCAGCATAATATCGGCTATGTGAACACTATAAAATGTAAACAAACATCAAAGTTGGTATAGTTTTCATTTTCATATTTACTGACCTGTCGCGCCTGTAAACGGACATGGGCAAGTTCTGAGGTGATACTAAGTTTTGCAACCTTGTCCATGACATCGTGCATTTCAGGTGCCACAAGCTTGCGGGCTAATATAGCCTTCAGCAATGCAAATGCAGTTGCTTGGCGGTTGAAGTCATGCATGTCCTGCTCTGCATAAAGAAGTAACGTTTTCATTTGTTCAGCTCGTATAACATGATACTTGACATCTCTCACCAGCACTGTTACTACCTGCAATTAAAATGCATTGCCATCACACACACACACACACATATATATATATTATGCAATTATATTAATACACTGAAATCCTTTTCAATGAATCTCTAATACTGTATATAAGTATTCACCATATTGGGATTGTGTCAGAATTACATCAAGAAACTGTGAACCATCTTAGAAGATTTACTGTACCTATGTAAATAATTTCCTTAACTAAGTAACTGCAGAAAACTGTTTTTACATAAATAAATACAATCATATAATCAATAGTATCAAATTTATTTCTAAGATAATTAATTACTTACAAATGAAGACAATGGTTGTGTGCAAATAATTTCCAGCAGACAGAAAACATGAATTTCAATTATTCTATGCTGTGACACTACATAGTCTTGTAAGCTGACATTTGCATTTTCAAGGAAAATGCTGCCTCAGTCTTCATCGTTGAAGATTAAACATTATAGGCTGTTTCAGTTACAATCACGCTAACTGAAAATAGAAATTCTGGAAGGCAAAGGATGTCTTACACTACCTGCAGGGTCACTTACTAAATTAAAACTCATTAAATGTCACAGACTAACACACTGTACATGCCTTTGGCTAGGGCCAGAAAAAGTAATCAGAAAATACAGGACTGTACTAATTGCAGATACACACCATGTTGTGATTTCAATTCCTTCCAAATCCTTTTCAATTTAGTAATCACTAATCATCCTACCATTTGACACTATATATTTATTTTGGTTCATTTAACAATGCTTTCAGTAGACATGCTACATAGCACTAAATGCATGAATGATAATTTGGAAAGGATTTGAAAGGAAGAGGTCATAACTTAATGAAGTGTAACCGAACCATTGAAATCCTTCCCCCCCCCTTTTTTTTTAGTAGTTATAAAGTAGAATTGTAAGAATTACTAAGAAACAGGAAGACACAGTCAGAACAAACAGATAGACCGAACTTGTGTGGACAAAGACATCTGTTAGTTCTTGCGTCCAGGCCTTTGGTGTTGTTTCGAAAAGGGCAGAAATGATACTTCATGGAACCCCCACTGAGTTCTTTAGAAATTGAGCAGTTGACTTAGAACGACGAGCCTCTTTGAGAATTCGAGACGTGACAGTCATAAGTCAACAGTGGGAGGTCCAGGGGTTCCTTAGCGACCCTCATAAGTTACATTTTTGTCAGTTTTGCCGTTTGGGATTTTAAGCCGAAACTGCTTCTAAAACAATCGGTCATTGGCCGGAATCAAAATTTAAGCCTACTCCTCTTATTTGAATCCACCTATCCGAGAATTTAGGAGGAGAAGAGAGGAGGCGGATACAATCCAGTTAGGACCTTTGGCTCGGGAGAGAGTCCAGTTTAAGATTGAGAGTCGGCTACGAAACTTAGAACTTGGCGGAGGTAGAACCCGCGAATATAATCCAGTTTAAGATCAGGGAGTCTACTAAACACTTTCGAACGTGGCGGAGGTAAAACCCGCGAATATACTTGCGCGTTAAGATAAGTGATTTGAGCAGTGCAGCACCGGCGGCTTGGAAGCCGATACTACGTCTTATAGTGTTGATTTTTTACTCCGCGTGACTGTGAGAAACAATAAAGTGTTCCAGTGGCAAAGTACATTGTGTTGGTCAGAAGTGTTTCACCCTCCTTGTCCGAGCCTGGCCCTTAGCCGACCTGAGGAGAGAACTCATCGCCAGGAGCAAGCCAAACCCATCGCCAATTTCCACCCCACTCACGCCTTCCCTCCTTTAAATTGAATCGCAAACAACTAGGAGCTGTTTGCTGGCGCCCAAAATATCAGGTTCTAGGTTGAAATTCCAAACCCGTAATCAGCAACGGAAGGAGGAAACGGTGGAGTAGGAAGAAGCGGTGGAGCCTGGTCAAGCCGGAACCAGCCACGACCTAACAACTTCAACGGAGGCAGCACCAGGTAGGGCAGCCAAAGTGACCAGTGGCAACCACCTTGTGGGCAAGAAGCCTTCAAAGAGGGTGGGCGGTTACAGAGAGAGAAAGTGTGCCGCCCAACGGTGTTGGCCCGAGTAACGACGACGAAGAAAGGTCAGGGCGGTTAGAGAAAGTATGGCGCAGCCAACGTGACGGCCGACGTCTCAGCGAGGACAAGGGTACGAGGAGAGAAGCGCAACATAACGCACGACGCCAGAGGAAACAACTCCCGACAATTGGAACAAGAGTCAGGACGGACGGAGCTGCACACTACTAGTTCTACTGCTCCGACAGTTCACACGAGGTACACCGAACGCAACTACAAGGTCAGTTACGAAATTTTATAATGGCCAGCAGATCATTGAGGAGCCGTACTGTAGAGGCTCAAGAGGAGAATCAGGAGTTAGCGGCAGGGGAGCGAGACCCCGCAAACCCTCTTAGCTTAGTCAGCGCGAGTGAGACTCCAGGACAAGACACAATGCGACCTCAAGGAGCAGAATTAGGGACGCAGAGCCAAGCCAACCAAGTGTTAGAGAAAAGTGATTCCAACACACAAGCTTCTGTAGACAGTACCAATCAGCTACAGCAAATGTTGTTAGAGTTTTTCACAAGTGTTAGAGCAGATTTGAGTAGCCACCGAGAGGAAATTCAGGAAAGTGTTAGAGCAGATTTGAGTAGACACCGGGAGGATATTCAGGCGCAGTTCATTAGTGTCAAGGCTGATCTAAGTGCTAATCAAGAGAATGTGAGAGCCGAACTCCAGTCCAACCAAACTAAATTAGAACAGTTGCAGGAAAGTGTTCGGTCAGATATGAGCCAAGTTAGGTCTGACATACGAGCAGAAAATGAAAAGTTACTGCAAAGTTTCGAGGCTCAAACTCAGGAAATCAGGAAGGAATTAGATAGTAGGCTGGAATCCGAAGCCAGACGGGTCTCCCAGCTAGTTACGCAGGTGCAAACTGAAACCGCATCTGAATTTGCAGCAGTCAAGAGGCAGCTGCAGAGCATAGGTAACGAGTTCGACTCTAGGTTAGAACAGTCCAATACAAGCACCCAATTGGTAGTTAATGAACTTGCAGATCAGATGCAGGAGCACAGGTCTGAAGTGAGTAATCAGATGGTACGACAGAAAGAGAGCCTAGAAAATTTATCGCAGTCAACCACTCAGGAATTAGGAAGGAAATTTGAGATGGTAAACGCAAAGGTTTTGGCATTAGAGACTAAATTAAACGAAATGCCAGCCAGGCAAGCTTTAGCCACAGAGGCGCGAGTGGTAGTTCAGGACGCCGCATCTCTTTCCGCCGGACCAGCCAATGACCCTACGACGGAACCTGAAGTGACTGAAGCAAGCGGTGGATTGGTCGGTGAAACAGTCAGCTGCATTCACCAGCCAGCCCTCTGCAATACATTGTCTAGTGATAGCAGCATGAATGGGTGTGTAGTGCATGCCAACACAGAGAATGTATCCTTGTTGGGTTATCTAAGCAACTCAGAATTTCCCTTACCTCTTTACGATGACGCAAAAGAGACCAACCCCGTATTTCATCTACGGAGGTTGGATGAATTTATTAACTTTCGCAATGTGCCGAAACCCCTTCGTTTGGCAGTCGCATGCCGATCCATAGTGGGACACATAGGCAAGCAATGGGTAGAGGCTGTAATGCACAATGTGGCAGACTACGAGGCATTCAAGAAGGCATTCTTGAATACCTGGTGGTCGACTTCCAGGCAATCTCTTGTAAAGTGTACGCTCTATCAGGCGAAATATGATCGGAGATCAGGTTTGAGTCTGAGCGGACATTTTTTAAAACACGTGACCATGGCTTCGTACCTGGACCCAAGACCTTCGGATGGGGAGCTGATAGAAGCAATCAGGGCCCACTATCCGATAGGGGTGCAACGAGCCATGCTCACCAACCAGATGCAAACAATCGAGCAAGCCCTGGATCTTCTCAAAAGAGTGGAGCTGATGGAACAGTCCGAGAATTATCCGAGACCTCCCATGCAACCCCACAATTCGAACCCTAACAGGCCAGGGAACAATCCGCACAGAAGTGACCCCAGAGGCCAAAACCAGGCTCAGGTGCGCCAGGTGCAATTCTTTCCGTCACGGAACCGTTCGAACCGGAACCGGAGACGTAATCGCCGTAATTACCAGTCAGAGAGAGGCGGAGAACCCCCAGAGGGAAGCTCCGGCCCTCTTAACCCCAATGCAACCCCGTACCAGGGAAGACAAGAGCAAAACAATCACAGCGATAACCATTCGGGAAACCGATAACTGGAGTTATTGAGGACCGAATGGCTCCCGTTGTGAGATCCCACGTATTTCTAGGTCCGCTCAAGGCATCCCAAATGGCAGGCGAACCCAGTTGTGAAGGCGAGTCTGACTCGGAAACTCAAGATAGCTACTTAGAGCAGGTGACTACGGGTGGAGTAGTACTGTTCATTAATGAGGCAAATTTAGAAAACAGTCCTCAGGTCGAAGTTCAAGTGTTGAACAAAATTAAATTCACAGCCATTCTAGATTCTGGCAGTGAGGTTAATCTCCTATCAGAACGAATTTATGAGGAGCTAACTGAAACAGGTGTAAAAGTTCCTACCCTACCAGTTGAAGGAGTGGTTCTCGTAACAGCGTTCGGCAGACGAAGCAAACGGATACGTCGGCAGGCTTTACTCGAATTTTCGATAGGCCAAGATGTGTTCGAGACCATCTTTTTAGTTTCACCCCAGTTGAATAATGACGCCATTTTCGGTTGTCAATTCCTGAAGGAGCATGGAGTTATCATCGACTTCAACTCAGGAAAGTTCACGTATGTCCGCAACGGAACAACAAGAGAGTGGACGTTTGCCACCAGGGCAGCATCGCAAGGCGCTTGCAATAATGACAGTGGAGAGTTTAAAGAATCTTCCAACACTGTATCCATGTTAGCAGGTCAGCGACCCAAACCCCAAACAGCTGACTGTGCAGACCCACCTTCCCATTCCAGAGCAGCTGAATACTGCAATGGATCCCTACCTCACCCCACCGCATACGGCAGAGTGGCGACCAACGGCATTAGACTCGG